GGCTTTAGCACTGACAGAAGACAGAGAAAGGAAACTCAGACTAGAACAAAATCAAGGACAAACAACTTCTGGTAACGATTTTTTCTCCAAAGATAAAACTCTGGAATATTTTTATAAACAGCCAATGATGCTGTGTGCAACACAACGGTATGCTTCTAAACTATAAAACCAAAAAACTTAACTCCCTGTCACCAACTCGTAGTGATAGGACAGGGTAGAATTGCCCCTGTGAGTTTCCAAGGCTCTAATTTTTATGGGACTAGAAAGCTCATCTTTCTCCCTGGGAGTGGCTGGTAGTTTCAAACTGCTGACCTTATGGTTAGCAGCCAATGACCAACTGCCACACCAACAGTGCTCCATTCAAGACTATTCATGAGCCACTTTTAATCAAAACAAGACTGACATGCTTCTGTTTTCCAAGAAACATTCCCACATCTGATACATTTTCCTAGTAATAAGCACTTTATTACTGATGAGTGAAAAAAGGTAGTTGATTATAGAAGTGTGTTACCAGTTGTGGAAGTTACATAATCTGATGTCAATTTGAGGATTAAGAGTGTTAGAGTGGAGTCTAGACTGTCAATCAGGATATAGCCAATGAGGCCTCTGTATGGGCATGGCCTTCTCCTAAGGATTCTGGGAATGCCTGTATTTCCTCTTGGGAGGTGGGAGTCTCTCTCTCTCACTCTTTCAGCTCATTCCCTGTGAGACATCCCTGTGGAGATGACACATGGAGAGGCTGATGGAGCCAGACCTCTGGAGCCAGAGAAGCCATGTGGAGACTCCTGCCAGTGCTGAGATGCTTACTACACCACTGGATCCACAAGACTTCCCACCCGCTGGCCTGTGATCTTCCTATACTCGGTGTTATTGCATGTGCTTTGTGAGTCTGAAGAGGACTTTATAGACTGGTATCGGACATATGGGCTAATATTGGATTTATAGACCTGATATGGACTGGGCTGGATTGTTTTCTCAATATTCAACTACTCTTGTATATAAAGCTCTTTCTTATACACATATGAGTCTCCCTGGATTTGTTCCTCAGTCTATCCAGACTAACATACCAGTTGGATTAAAAAAAGGAGAAAATATTATTTGTATATGAAAAAAATCTCTGCAAAGACATACAAGAAGCTAATCATGAAAAAAAAAAAAGAAGACAAAGAAGAAGCTAATCATGGTGACATCATTTCTTTACCCACAAAAGAGGAATAAAGTATGGGCAAATATGGGTAGGTCTGACCCTGGACATCTTTTTCTATTTTAGTTTTGAGCCAATATTGAGTAAATGTTATATCTATTAAAGTGAGTAAATTAATTAATGGAAAAGTGATAAACCTCATTGCAAGTTGACACGTACTACCTTATACTTAGCTTCAAATCCATTATTGGAGTCAGTATAGCACTGAAATATTAACTATTATCCCATGGCATAGCATCAATTCTGATTCATAGTGACCTTATAGGACTGATAGAATTGCTTTTGGAGTTTCTGAGAATACAAGAAATTTTAACACATTTATTGACATATAATTCATATACCATACAACTCAATGCTTTTAATATCTATTTTTAAATTGTGTAGACAGTTTTAGAGTATTTCCTTCATTCTTATATCAATTATCATTAGCTCCCCAACTCCCCACAACCTATCCTGCCATAACCCTAATTAATTATTAATCTAGTTACTATCTTACCAGATTTACCGCTTCTGGATTTCATATAAATAAAATCATACCCCACATCCACCCCACACCAAAATCAAAACAAAAAAATTTACCAACACCTAAATAAAACCCAGAAAAACATTAGTCCAAAAGAAAGCAGAAAATTATAAAAACTAAAACAAGTTAAAATGGGTCAAATGGGAAAACAAATGGTATAATGCTAAATCTTAATCTAACTTATCTATGGTCTCATAGCAACCTATAGAACAGAGAACTGCCTCTGTAGGTTTCCAAGACTATAACTCTTTATGAGAGCAGAAAGTCTTATCTTTTTCCCATAGAAGGCTAGTAGTTTTCAACTGCTGACCTTATGGTTAGCAGAGTTGGAATCAACTCAATGGCAAGGAGTTTAGTTTTAAGTCATATCTGCAGTAATCGACTTTAAAATGCACTGTGGAAAAGACTATTTGCATCCTTGGGCAATGGACCAAGAGTATTCAATGGAGACTTAATCCATGTGGGGACTCTGCAAATGGATTGTGGGCTTTCACTGTCATCCATAGCCTACTATAAACCAGGTGTTCAGAATTGAAGCTAGTATAATTTCCTCATCCGATCTTGGATTTTATTATTTACCATATTTGTATGACATGAGCTGATGTGCTCCTTCCATGTGGATTTAACTGACATTCAACTTAGATGTCTACTTGTTTAAGTAAGCCTTTGAGACTCCAGGAGCTATTCTTTTTGGACACTATCTGATCTCTGCACCACACTTTGCTATACCACCAGTATCTTCAGTGATCACTTCATGAGGATAATTATTGAGCAGAGTCACATTAAGAACAAATTGTTCTTGTTTTAGGGCTTATGATTAAGTGTGAGCTCAAAATTCATTCATGAGCCTATAAATCTTTATGGGAGCAGACAATCTCATTTTTCTCCTTCAGATCAGCAGGTGGGTTTGAACCAGCAACCTTATGATCAGGAGCCCAATATTTATCCCAGGATGCGACCAGAGCATCTTATTAAACTACTGTAGTAAGTTAAAAAAAAGTGCATACGATTAAATTAGAAGTGAATAAATATGCTACAATAGCTTCAAGGAAAGGTGCTGAGGGTCTCACACTCACTGCTTTGCAGTCAATACCTCCTCCCAGTCAATTCCTCCTTTTGTGGCTTTCTCACACTGTAACTCATTGCAGTAGTGGTTTTAAACTGCTGACCTTGGGGTTAGCAAGCCTACGAATAACCCACTACACCACCAGGGCTAAGTGTCTAGATCTCAGTTATTGTCAGGATGGCATATGCTCAAAAGGTAGAAATATTAGTGAGAGTTTGGGTGAGAGAAGGTTTGCAGAGAGGATTCTGGGCCTGTTTGGGTAAAGAGCCAACCACAATGCTGTAGTGTGATATGCCTGGCTAAGGAGGGACCAATGTCAGCACCGCCAGGCATGAGAGCAACAATGGGAATGGGAAGCTCAGGGGAGGAGGAAAGGACATCAACATCTGCCCAAGTGCTGAGAGCTAGGCAGTGGCTAGGGCTAACGCTCAGTGCCCATTCTTAACTCCTGCTAGAATACTCTGTCCTCATGTGGAATCCACCTGGACAGAGAGTCAGTCCAATCTGTCTTTCTAATGCTGATATCTCATTCACTGTTCAACTGGGCACACACGTACAACCCTGCCTCTCAATCTATGCTCCTGTTCTTGTATTTTTATTTGAAATCCTAACCCGATCTGTCATATCTGGGGTTATTTCCTGCCTCAAACTCTCCAGACATGACTCTGACCTGCCTTACAGTACACTGGGAGGGGACAGGCCACTAAACATCCCCAAGTACTCCAACTACCCTTATGTCATTGTCACCAGATCCCTAGTGTGAAGCAGAATAATCCTGGGCCCCCCTCCACACCAGCCAGTATCTCTTTAGGAAAATTCTCTTCTAACTAGGAACTAGCTGATTCCAGTACAAGAAGTCCAGACCACCCCTCAAGAAACCACTATCTTTTAGGGGAAAGAAGAGCAGACCATGGCATGGGCCTAGAAGCCAAGGCCAAGGCTTTCTGTTTAAGTATACCTCTAGGTTTCTGGGCAAACTGGAAGATGTGTATGCGGGTACCAGTGCTCCCTGCATCGAACATGATTCCATAGAAGACCTCCTGGTCATGCCCTGATGTCCCACTGGGGCTGTGGACTTGCTGGTTTCTGTGTGACCCCGCAGCCACCTCAGTGATGCTGAAGAAGGCCTGGGTGGCAGAGGCCCAGTGCCACTTGATGTAGGCAACATAAATGAACAGGCACACAAACAGCCCCAGGGGGTATGCCATCTTCATGTTCCCATTATTTGATGTTTTTCTCATTTCCTTCTCTGTCAAGGACTGTCCAATACCTGCTGGAGGAGAAGAGGAGGCAAGAAAACACACATTATGCTGTAGGACTGCAGAGTGCATCAGAAATCCATTATGAATAGGAATAAAATGCTCAACCAGGAACTGGGTGCATTGCTATTCCTGATATCAGAAAGCATAACTCCCATTTTACAGAAGAGGCATTGAATGTATAAAGACCAAATAACCTAGTCAGGTTTTCATGTCTTGCAAGTGTAGTGTAAGTCAGTCAGTCAGTGCTCAACTCCAAAGCCGGGATTTGCTCCTCCCATAAGTGCTAGATTTCAGACCCATAGTTTCTGGACTGGTTACTACTTAGGTTAAAAAGCTATTCCTGAGCTGGAATCCCTCTCAAAACCTTTCCAGTGAACAGAAATGTATATCCAATCCAACATATTCTCTCCAGCCTTAAGTTTTTGTACCTGGAGTTTACTTTTGAGACTGTCTGGGAATTGCAGAGCCCAAGCAGATCTGAGAAATGTGTTTTTGTTTTTAAAAAATATTTTACACCCATTCCTCACTTAGTGTTTCGTTTAGGTTCAATTAGCATTATGCAAAAATCAGGTGCCATGCCTCCCCAGCCCAGTTAATCACCATCCATTGGGACATCACCGGTGCAGATGTGAGGGTTAGAGTGGGGTCCCCTTCCCCACCACCAAGGAGTTCTCAGGGACTGGTCACGTGTTGCCCACTGAACTCTGCTGCCCACTGTGGGCAGAGACCCTGATAGTTCTGGGCCTCCTGCCTGCTCTGGGTGGGTAAGCCTGCTTGTCCTGTCTCTGCCAGCCTCTAGGAGGCCTTTCCTTCTCTTTCACTTCCTGCCCCTCCCCTTCAGGCCACTCTCAGACCCTCACTCGCTTCCTGCTGCCTGCTTACAACTTTATGTCAGCCCGCTTGCCCCTTTCTTATTCTGGGTCTAGGCTGAAAAGCCAGGGATGGACAAGAGAAGGCCCTTATCCAATATTTTGCATTCCTGACAAGCGTGACCAGTGACTATCTCGTATATTTTTCAATTAATGATAAGTGTCTGGCAGTAAAAAATGCAAGTGCTAGACAAATGTAAGGCTGGCTGTGAGAGTTAAGGTTATATGTCAACTTGGCGGGGTTGTGATTCTTAGTGGTTTGGTAGTTATATAATGATGTACTTTCGCGGTTGTGTAATGATGTTGTAATCCTCAATTTGTGATCTGATATAGTCATGTTTCATTTTCATATAATGCCAATTTCTGCATAATGACATGTTCTTTGAAAACGAACCATGTCAATACGTTTTTATGCTTTTGTTGAAGGCTTGCATGTCAGTTTATGTGCCCATTCAACAATTTCCACAAGTTGTTCAGTGATATTGGTTGCAATCTTCACATCGTTTGCATTTTTTTCTGTTTTGGTTGTTCCATTTTCATTAATCTAGTTTCCCTGCTTCCTTGCCATTTCATCTTTGTTTTAAAGTAACTGCTGACCACTTGGTTTCACATAGATGATTTTCAAAAGAACACAGTACTCATGGGTGATATTATTTTGCGAGCTATTGGTGATATTGCGAGCTATGGGTGATATTGTTACTTAGCTAAAGGGGGCTAGTTTTGGCTCAGTGATTAAAGAGTATTTCAGGGCAATATCCAATCTCAGCCAGTCCAGGAAGTCAGAATGTTTAATAATCTGAGGTTCTATTCCAAATATTCTCCCATTCTACCTAGTTCTTCTGGTCTCAGGGTAGATGAAACCATGCTTCTGGTAGATTATGAATCCTGTAGACTACTTTCTTTGCTTTCCTTCAATTTCTTTTGCTTCAGAGGAATAGAGACAGAGGCAAGTTGTATCTCAGATGACTTTTAAAACCCCAGCTACTACTCACCAAACGAAGGGCTAGAACATAGACTTTGTAAACTATACCTATATGGCCAATTAACTAGGCTGCCCCATAAGATTATGATCTTAAGGCTTCAAACCTGGAAATCCAACCCTGAGTTAAGTTGCAATCTAAGAAGTATTCATTAAAATTTCTTCTATGACAAATCACTAAAATCTGTAAAACAAAACAAAACACCTCAACACGATGAGTAATCTAGTGGGAAATGGGCATAGGACAGAGTACACCAAAGAAAATATTTAGGGGCCAAGAAACATGTGAAGAAATGCTCACAATCACTCATCACTGGAGAGACACAAATGAAAACAACAATGAGATACCACTTTACATCAGCAAAGTAAAGAAACAAACAATAATAGAAAATTACAAATGTTAGAGAGGGTGTGGAGAGACTGGAACCCTCATTCACTGTTGGTGGCACTGTAAAACTGTACAACTACTGTGGAAAGTAGTATGGTGCTTCGCCACACAACTGGAACTAGAAATACCCTGTGACTCAGCAATCCCTTTGCTGGCTAGAGACCCTACAGAAATAAGAGCCAGAGCATGAACAGATACATGCACACCCATGTTCTTCACAGTGCTATTCACAATAGCAAGACGATGGAAACAACCTAAATGCCCCTAGGTGGAAGAACAGGTAAATGGGAAAGAAGTTGAAATTGTCAAAGACTTCATTTAATTTCTTAGAACAATAATCAATACTCATGGAAGCAGCTGTCAAGAAATCAAAGAACGCATTTGCACAAACCTAAGGTAAACTTAAATAAAGCCAAACCCGTTGTCTTTACATAGATTCCACCTCAACGCGCTTCTATAGAGCACAGTAGAAGTGCTCCCTGTGGCTTCTGCCATAACAGACCTCTTTACCATGCTAAAGAGCAAAGAGGACACTTTGACAAGTAAGGTGCATTTGGTCCAAGCGATGGTGTTTTCAATCATCTCAGATGGCTAAAGCCAGAGAGAAAAAGGGACCTAACAATTTTTGCATTTAAATTGTGGTGCTGGAGAATGGAATTGAACATATCAGGAACAATCGGAAAACTGAACAAATCTGTCTTGGAGATCGTACAACCAGAACGCTCCTTAGCGGTTCCCTTACTTTGTTCATGTTATTAGGCGGGTCTACTCACTACCGAAAGACATCAAGCTTGCTTAAATGGAGCCTAAGCAACAACAACAAAAATCCTCAATAAAATTAATTGATGCCACAATGGATTAAGCAATAAATCATACCAACGATTGTGAGGATGGTACAAGACTGGCAACATTCATTCTGTTATACAGAAGGTCACTATGGGTCAGTCGACAACAATAATAAAGGGCAAGGCCAGTGTGGAGAATCTAGGCTTAAGAGAAGAAGTGAAGTGCCCAACTCATCTGTCTGTCCAGCTGTCACTCTTTCCACCAACCAGCGTAAGTGGAGTTGATACATTTAGGGAGGAGATGGGGAAGGTCTGAATTTGAGAGCAAGACTTGGGGTTGGGGTCCACTGCAGCTTGGCAGGGGCCAATTTATGATGTAGCTCTTTACTGAAAGCCCCTTTCCATAATTGGGGTTTATTGGTAGTAAGATGTGTGATGTGTTTGGAGCAGTGTCCACAAAGACCTGTAGTTAATCCTGGCCTTGTAGAGGCAGCAGGAAGTCCTAGCCACTTGGATGCATGGCACTGCTGTGCAGAAGTACATAGGAGGACCCAGCTGCACAGTGTAACCAGGCACTGCCCCTATAGGTCTCACTTGGAGGTATGAGCAAATGGAGCTGGAAGTATCAGTAGGCCAGCCTGGGTCTCCAGACTTTCTAGGCAGAGGAGGAATAGAATGAGAGTGGTCATTGGGACAGGCACACAAACTCGGACCTTCCTCAGGCCCTCTTCCTGGGATCTTATCCTGCAAGCACACCTGGATACCCTTGGCCAGAGGATCAGGTCAAACCTTTGACCATTCTAACTCATAACAATCCTACATAAGGTTCCTGAGATTGTAAATCTTTATAGGAACTTTTCCACCATCTGCACTTTTCCCTGTAGTGCAGATAGTGGATTTAAACCACTGACCTTGTGGTTAGCAGCTCAATACCTAACCCACAGTGCCACGCAGACTCCAAGTACTGGCTAGCGGCCCAGCCAGCTGTTGGTAAGGGGCACAACAAACTACCCTTCCCAGAGCATCTGCTGGGCATGGCATTAGGGATGTTCCTAATAGTTGCAGATGCCACGGAGCAAATCAATTCTTCCTAATCTCTGGCTTATGCCTCACTTGTGCCTCTCTTGGGTCTCCCTGAACCCAGAGGCTTCCTACTGCACTCAGGGTCATATCCAGATTCCTCACCAGGCCTCACCTGCCTCTCTACCTTCATTTCATGCCTCTCTCACCTTCATTCAGGGACTCCATGGTGCCTTCTTTTGCCCCTAGCACTCAACTCTTCTCTGCTTGAGGCCCTTTGTATAGTTGCCAGGAGCTCATCCGCACACCTGGCCAGCTCACCCTTATCCCTAAGACTTAGCTGAAATGTTGCTATCATCATCTCCTTAACCACCTCCACCTTGAATGGAGCCCATTAAGTCCTCTGTGAGCTCCCACCTCCCCTCTGTCCTAGCACTCACAATTCGGAACTGGGGTTGGGGTGTGTGTGTGTGGGAGGGGGTGGGATGGGTTCTTAGAAACCTGTATCTCTTCTCTAGGCCATGAGCTCCACAAAGGCAGGGACCTGGCCTGTCTTCGTCCCTAGTCTATAATGGTAGAGGTCTAGGAGTCTGACCACAGGTGTTCCTCCACTCTCACTCATCTTCAAACCATCACCAGATACACTCAAGGATTTTAACTTCTTGTTTAAAACCCTTTAATACCTCTTTTGAGGCCAAGGAGGTCCTAGACAAGCCATGGAGGTGTAAAGGCAGCAGTGGGAGAGCTGGGAGGCAAGATGTGCCCCAGAGCACTAGGACTCAGGCTGTTTTAAAGGTATGAGTCACACTTCACTCTCTGCCGTAAAGGTTCTTTTTGTTTTAAATTAAAAACAAAATGAACACCTCTTCTTTCCACCTGGAATCTAAAAGAAAACACACTACAAGGAGACATAAACCAAGAACAGTTCAGGCCACAGGGCAAGTTCATGCTGCTCCCAGGGGAGGAGCAGCTCCTTGTTCCTGAGGCCCAAATCTAAAGACTAATTTCAATCCTGTGGGGAAAGGTGTTTGTTTGTCCAGCGCTAAAACACCACAAGCAAGAGTGCGGATCACATTTCTGAGGGTGCCACCAATACTGCAGAGGTTCACCCAAGAAAACACTTTCATTTTCGTTTACTTTTTAAAGGGAAGAGTCCAGGAGCTAGGCTATAAGGAAGGTAAGCCAGGAGTGGAGTGAGGAGGTGGGCAGAGGTGTGGGTTACATGGTACTTTGCTGGGGGGGGGCCACCTCTGTTAGGTCACTATAGTGGATAGTAGTTTTGGAAGCAAGATCCCAGATTTTCTCCTGTTGAGCTTTCTACAAATGGGGGACAGAATGTGGATTTGTGGAAAGTGTGTTCCTTGGTGGCCGTCTAATCTGTTGTCCAGTTGCCCTAGGTTTTCAGGTAATCTGCAACAGAGCATTGGTGCAAATGGTGAGCCGTATGTTGAAAAGTATTTGAGAACAAAGTATATGAAAGCATAGGTGTTATTCACTGTCCAGGAGGTCTAAAATGGCTTTCTTTCCATCTTAGTAAAGTAACCACATATTTTCATTAGGGAAATGCCATGAAAGCGCAGCTTGTTTGTGGTCTGTTCTTTCAGCTTCTGTTGTTTCTAAGCGTTTTCACAGGAAGTCTGAGAGAAGATGCTTCCAGACTTCTTTTACATAGACAGCTGTCTAACCTCCGTGGTTCTTCATGATGTATCTACCACACAACTGATCTTGTGAGAACAAGAGCAGGGCAAAACATCATTTCTGGATCTGGAACTTGGCCTTTACTACAAAAGAGCAGCAGGAAAACCGACCCTCACACCCCCACAGTTCCTGCACAGTAGACCCGGGAGCCCGTAAACCACCTTCCACTCTTTCCCATGGAACCTTTTCCCTGGAGGGTCCAAATTCCATAGCCAAGACCCAGCTCAGGGCAACCTACACTTTATTGGAGGCAGGATCCCCGATTGTTCCTGTTGCTACCACACACATGAGATGGGATAGTAATCTCGGAAGGCAGCAGCCTGGGATGGCTTGGCATGTCCAGGTGACTGATTCCTCAGGGTGGGCATCCACAGTGGGGCTATGCCAAAAATCTACCGAGCAATTCAGACTTTCTTCAACCCCTCTAAGGGCTTCCAACTGCACTTCAAATAACAACCCTCTTTTCACACATGGCCCATGGCCCAACCTCGTCTCTCTCCACGTCCACACTCTCCTGGTTGTTTCTTGCTTTCTGTTAGAATCGCTCCATGCTTCTCCCTCCCTCAGGAGCACTGGTGGTTGGCCTTTCCTCAGGGAGACTACGCTGACCACATCACGAACCCGGTCACAACCCTATGCCAGTCCTCGCATGCTTACTCACGCCTGGACAGCCTGACTTTACCTGCGGGGGCTCCTAGTGCGGCTGTGAGCACAGCAGAGTGGCTTGCCTCCACTGCCCTGACCGTGTCCCAGCACCGAGCTCAGTGCATGGTTACAGCAAGGCCCACAGTCCCCGGCAGGGGAGACCTCTGATGTCTGGCTCAGCCCTTCGCCCACAGCACTGCACGGGTCCCGCCTCTGCACCCGGGGGGGCCGGCGGGGTTCTGGACCTGCGGCAGGAGCGTGGCCTCTCGGCCCGCGGGCGGCTCACTGCTCCCCGTCCTCACCTGCCACACCAGTTCCCAGTTCCGAGAGCGGTGTCCCAGACCCACGTGCAGGCGAGTGGGGATGGGGGCCGGCCGACTGCGCCGCCCCGCACACGCCCCCAGCGCTGCACTTACCCTGCCCGCCGCCTCTGCCCAGTCCGCTGAGGCAGTGGTCCTAGGCTTATATTTGCCAGCAGTCACCCCTGCTGGGTGGTACGGGAGCAGGCACACTCCCAGGTGCTCGTCACTCAGCCTCTGGGCGGGACTGCGCAGGCGCAATGGGGAGCCTGGCCGGGGGTGGGGTGGGGGTTGGCCCCAGTTGCGCAGGCGCACTTTAACCCAGCCTGGACGTGTTTCTTCCTACCTTGAGCCGGGCATGTCACTCCACGCAGTTCCAGGCCCCGTTTATGGTCATAAGTTCATGAGTTTCCTCCCCGCGTTGCGGAGCCCACTAGGAGTCCCTCGATGGCCTGTGAAATTTCCCGAATCTCCCAATATTTAAATGACCCTTCTGTTAAGGTAATACCCTGTTGAAAATGCAGCCACTACAAAGAGGTGAGAAATGGAGGACATCTTACAGTTGTCAAGGATTTTGTCTTGCGCGCACCCACAAATGTGTCTTGAAAGAAGTGCCGCCAGAATGCTTCTAAGAAGGGAGCACGGACAGGCATGTTGTTGGGAGAGAGCAGTCCCTGGAGAAGGCCATAGTGCCTGCTAAAGTGGAGAGACAGCGGACAAAGAGGAAGGCCCTGGACACGGTGGATCGATACTGTGGCTGCTGCCACAGTGGGCACTGTGGGACGGCGCAGGACGGAGAGGTGTTTTGTTCTGGTGTCCCGAGGGTGCCTGTGAGTCAGAACCTACTTGATGGCCCCTAACCACCCGACAAAGAGGTGGGCAGTGAGATCGAGTATCTCGTACTCTTTCCCCTGCCCTTACTGATTTCTTCCTACAAGCAACCAGGGGTGCAGATTTTTCCTCTTCTGGATTCGTCCATTATCTTTCGCTATTTTTAGTCTTTGGAAAAGTGGAACACGTTTGGGCTCTTAGATCAGGGTGATCATGTAATTTCCTACCTGGAAAGGAAAAATTCGAAAATGTGAGTGGGTGTCAAAAGAGATGCAGGGACACATCAGCGGCAATGAGTCATCCTGTGAAAGGCTGCTCATCAGCACCCAGTTGGACACTACCCACCTTTCATCACGTTAAACTATTGAGATTTGTTTATTAAAGCAGCAAGTCTATATCATAGGTTCCCAAGCTTATTTTGCCTATTCTCCCTTTACAGAAAAGAAAAATTCTTGAACACCCTCTGGCAAATAAAAACTTTCTACTCCCTTAAACAGTTAGTCTTGGAAACGCGGCCGTTTTTTCTGTCCTAGGGTTGCTATGAGTCAGGACTGACTCATTGGCAGTGACTTTTATAGTCCCTTATCCTGGAGAAAGTGTAGGGATCTGCTTTTGCAGGCCTGTGGGTCTTTCCAGCACCATTCAGGGGGCGATATTGCCCATTCTGTGAAACACTGGTCTAGATAATGTCTAGATTGATTGACCTCTAATTTTTCCCAACTGTTTGCTAATATAAAAATACTATCTGTTCATTTATTATGGAAAATATCCTAGAAGTGGAATTGCTATGGTGACGGATCTATACTCACCCATGTTGTTGCCTTGTAGTTTTAGCCTTCTTCCAGAAAATTGCCTTTGCCTGCCCACCATAGCCATGCTGCATCTGTTCATAGCTCCTCTTTCCTTGCACATAGGTGGAATCCTTTTGCTTTTTATACTTGGTCATTTTGTGAAGCTGATGCTTGCCATACTTCTTACAGAAAGTCCTTTGAGTTATAGGTACATTGACAATCTTTGCAGTTACTGGTCTACTCAGTTGAAACAGGGAGTTGACAGTCTGCAATCCTCGCTCAGTTCTTGCTTAACCGAAAACACAAGATTGAAGCGGAAGTAGGAACTGACTGTCTTCTCTTTCTTTTTTTTTTTTTAAGTGTTTACTTTATTTAAACTCTCTTTCTTGTAGAGTATTATCTTCCCCTTCGCCTGAGTAAACATCTATCAACCTGCCATCCTATTGTTTCACACACACACTGTGGAAGTTACAGAATCCTGTGTCTACTTGTGGATATTAAGAGTGAAGGGGTGGAGTTTAGCCTGCCAATCAGGTCACAAGGTAACACCCACAAGGAGGGTTCTGGAAACTTTCTCTTTTTCTCCTGGAAAGAGGACCACACACTCTCTCTCTGCTTTACTTTCCTGTTGACAAGCCACATGGAACTATGCTTACGGCAGTCAGAGCCTTGGAGCTGGAGAAGCCATATGGAGACCCATGCCAGCACTGAGATGCTTACACACCACTGGATCCACAAGTCTTTCCATCCACTAGCCTGTGATCTTCCTGCATTCAGCATCATTGCATGTGCTGTGAGTCTGTAGAAGAATTTATGAACTAATATCAGACATATGGCCTAATATCGAAATTATGGACTTGATCTGGACTGGGCCTGGATGTTTTATTAATATACAATTACTCTTGGATATAGCACTCTATCTTACACACATATGAGGGTCTCTGGAATTGTTTCTCTAGTCAACCAGGATTAATACACTGTTCCCACAAGGCCAGTGATTCCATCGCTCTGCAGATTAGACTGTCTACTCTTGTAAGATTTAAAGTTTCTGAAAGCCAAAGTGGCAGTTCTACTAAGCCCTATTGGGTTACTAAGAGCCAGAATTCTGGAAGATCTAGAGTAGTTCTTTGCAATAAAAATATCCTATGAGTCACATGTGTAATGCAAACACTTCCCATCACCATATAAAAAAGAAATGAGAGAATAGTTTTTATACTGTATTTTACTTAATCCAATATATGGAAGACATTATGCTAACCTATACTCTATATAAAAAGTATTGAGATACTTTACTTTCTTTTTTTGGGTGCTGTTGTTGTTAGTTGCTCTGCTATTTATTCCAACTCATGGAGACCCCATGTGTCTACAACTATTCTGTACAGTTTTCAAAAATAACCTTTGGGCAGCTGATTGCTAGGCACATTCAGGTGCTTAAACCCTTGTGTCATCCAAGAATTTTTTAAATGCTAGTTCCTTTAAGTCTGCTGAGTATTTCACAGTGATAGGTCTCCTTTAGGATGAACCACATTCACATGCTTTATGGCCACTTATGACTAAAGACTACCAGATTGGGTAGTCTGCTTCTACAATATTATAGTCCCGTTATACAATTTTTAAGTAGAAGTAAAATGAATATGGTATTACTATTTAGCTTTCATTAATTATTTCATAATATTTTGAGGTAATGTTATGTTTTTTTTGTTAGTCCAAGTTAACTAGAGAAACAAATCCAGAGACACTTATAAATGTGTAAGAGAGCTTTATATCCAAGAGTAATTAATTGTATATTAAGAAAACAGTCCAGTCCAATCCAGATCAAATCCTTAAGTCCAATATAAGCCCATATGTCCAATACTAGTCTATAAATTCCTCTTGAGACTCACGGAACACATGCTGATACAGAATTCAGGAAGATCACAGGCCAGTGGGTGAAAAGTCTTGTGGACCCAGTGGCCATGAAAACATCTCCAGGACTGGCGTGGGTCTCCAGCTGACTCTTCCAACTCCAAGATTCTGGCTGCCATCAGCATAGCTCCATGCGGGCTTGTCAATAAGATGTGAAGCAGAGGAAGGAAGGAAGGAAGGAAGGAAGGAAGGAAGGAAGGAAGGAAGGAAGGAAGGAAGAAAGGAGTTCCCAGAATCCTCAGGAGAAGCCCATGACCACACAGAAGCATCATTGGCTATGACTTGATTGCCAGGCTAGACTCCACCCCTTTGCTCAAGTTGACAGGAGATTATGTAACTGCCACAAACCACCCCTTGTTAACTTGGCACTTTTACACAACTCTTTAGCCATATATAATTTTTAAATAAAATCATATTTGTACTTAACAGGATAAAACTAAAATGCCTACAACTCAAAATATGCCAGACTAATTTAAACATAATATTCTATAAGTGAATAAAACAATAATATTCTATGCCTAAAAATTGCAGTTGAGAGACCACCTATACTGTAATCCTATAATCCTATGGATATATTCCCCCACCTATGAAAGTTTGTAAGCCAGCCACTTCATGCTTTTATCCATCCCATTTTGACTATGAAATTTCTATATTGCCTGCTTACATCAACCCAGTACTCTGAGGGGAAAAACATGTTCTTTGATGTGAAGAATCTTCATTCCAGTTGGAACCTTGTGAGTCTGCATCCATAGCAAAGTCAAATCAGGACAGGCCGTCCATAAAGTCAACAGCAATATGCACCAGTTCACAGGCTCAAAAATCTTCTCTTCAAAAAAGAAAAAGGACATGGTAGGGGGTGGAACAGGGCACTAACTCACCCATAGGGAGGGTATGTTTATGTCTCCACAGGAAAGGGAGAAAGGGACCAGACCACAACCTAGTGCACCAAGACTTGAAGGCAACATACGGACATGAAGCAGCAAGCCAATAGAGGAGAGGTCTGCAGGGTCGACCCCAATCCCAGCTACGTGGACCCCCCTCTCCAGAAGAATGCACTACAGAGGACAACACTGAAGCAACAGCTTGGGAGAGAGTGGCAGGCCTACTCAGAACAAACTGGAGCAAACTAAGAGGGAAGGAGAGAGAGTGGACTGCATCCTGGCTCACCAAGCCCTGAGGACAATATTCCTGCTTGGAGCAGCCAATGTACAGAGAGGACCACAGGGCCAGCCCCACCACAAGACATGGCATTTCCTCATTGACCCAAAGCACCACGGGGGAGAACACTGGAGACCCCTGCAGGAATTGTGCCCTGTCTGCCCCATCCTCCACCCCCACTGGGGCAAAACACAAAGGGAGTGCAACAGAGCAGCAAGGGGAGCAAAGCAATGAAGTCCCCCAAAAATCCCCAAATAGACTTTGGGGGCATGGCTTGGCACCTCATCAGACTTGATTGGAAAACATTCATAAAGATCAACAGACAGACCTGGAACTTTATAGGTTTCACCCCACTCCCATGTCTATCTATGTAAGATAGGCAGGATAAATAATCCTGAGGAGAAAACAATGGGACTGACAGTTCCATGGGGACATGGGAGAGCAGGAGGTGGGCAAAGGAAGTGGGGGAGTCAACAAACCCAGGGACAAGGGAACAAGTGATCTAAAATCAATGGTGAG